AGTAAAACAGAGTGTAAGTAATGGACTTAATACACTACAGAACTGGCTGAACAATTTCAAATTAACTTTAAATTATAAAAAAACTAATTACATAGCCTTTTCGATAACCATGGCAAACCGCCCTCATTTTGATAGTATTCATGTTGAGAGTTCGAATAAGTTTATTGGGGAGGTTTCTCAGACTAAATATTTGGGCTCGTATTTGGGTATAATAATTGACAGGCACCTGAAGTGGGACCAGCATGTACTCAAACTGACTACAAATATCAGAAAATTACTGTATAAATTTTATATCTTGAGGAATATCCTAAATAAAAAGTTACTAATATCGGTATACAGTGTGATTTTCTAAGTGTGCAACATATGGGAAATTTTTTTAGTAATAGCACAACCCAAATACAAACAAGGCCAAAAGTTGGTGCATGTCTGATAATCATATTAGGTGCACTTAGAATGGTTGCAAGTCAAACAGCATAAAGGGTAGGTCAAACAATATCAAAATTATACTGTGAAGTACCCTTATTTTGGAAAATTCAGCAAAATGTTATGGAGAAAAGTTGTTTGGAATTAAAAGTTATGCCTAAATACCAAAACATAGCCTCCTAAAAAAAAATTTTTTTTTTTCGAAAAAAAACTATAATTTCTATATTTTTTTTATTTTTTATTTCCGCCCTTAATACTTTCATAAATTAATTAAAATCAAATCAATTTTACATAACTTTGTTCGAATTCAAGCATATTTGTAAAGTTAACTTAGATTTTTAATTTTTTATGGAATCACAAAATTCATGTTTGTTGCAATGATATTCAACACAACTTTAAAATGTCGTAATTTTTTTTTAACAAGTTAAAACATTACTACTTAATGATAATAGCCATATTAAAAAAACTCTCCTTAAAGTGCAAAAGTTTTATTTTATTTAAGTAAATATTTCTACAATTTTGATATTTTTTGAGCTATCCTGTATGCTGTTTGACTTGCAACCATTCTAAGTGCACCTGATATGATTATCAGACATGCACCAACTTTTGGCCTTGTTTGTATTTTGATTGTGCTATTACTAAAAAAAAATCCCATATGTTGCACACTTAAGTAATGACACTGTATAGAGCTATTGTAGAATCGTTGTTGAGATATGGTATTGTTGTATGGGGCGGCATGTATAGGAGTGCCTTATATCCATTATGTGTTGTTCAAAATTATATACTCAAAGTAATTTCAAAAAAAAATAGGCTCTATCCTACAAGGATGTTGTATTCTAAGGAGGTTTTGTATGTGCGATCTTTGTATGTAATGGAAGTGAGCCTTTTTGTATTCAAGAATAAGGAAATGAAAAGAATTGTGAGTCATGAATACCAGACAAGAAATAAGACTAACAACTTTATCCAAATACCGAAGAGTAATACCAACCTGAATATGAAATCTTTAAACTAATTTGCACCGAAAATTTATAACCTCATACCAGTTGAATTTAGAAACTCTACTAAAATTAGTATATTTAAAAAAAAATGTAGAGCATATATTGTTGAAAAAAATGAATTATTCAAGAAGCTTTTTTAAACTTTAATTTCTAGCGATGGGTGTTGGGAGTGTAGGGGGGACATTGCTTCTGGTATTAATGATGGATTGAATGTAATAGACGTAGGATGTAGAATTTAGGTCAGGCCCTGCGATCTCTTATTGCCAGTAATAAACCACATAATAACTCTTTTCCGTTTTTCTAGATGTCGCTGACAACAACAGAATTGTAAAATACCAGCACATCAAGAACACGTCCGATTTCGATAACATTGACATGAGATTGACATGTCAACATATGACAATATGCCAAAATATTCATTTTATCATAACTAATAATTCATAATGTTTTTCGTTCGCCGGTCTTGCATTTCGTCTTTCTTTGTGTTGTCAAGTGTTTCTAAGTGATTTCAAAGTGGTTTTGTGTGTTTCACGAAGACCTTCAAAAAGATTGGAAGATCTATTTTTATCTTTGTTGATTAGATTAATGACAGGTTCAATTAAACATCAATCAGAATGTTGAATAAATACGTTAAGGATCAATAATCATCGATAAAGGAACTGTCTTTTGATCTAATTAACAAAACATCAATTAATTTAACCAAACATTAATGTCCCAAAGTCTAGAATAAAGAAATTTTAACAGACCGACTGTAATGCGAACAGGGCGCCATCTATCATAAAAATGCCTTGAAGCCCTATGTAAAGTAGGTGTCTGTAGCGTCGATGCAAAACCAGTAAATAGTGAGTTTCCAATGTGATAGATGGCGCTGGCTTGGCTTAATTTTGTTGACAACAAAATTTACACTGAGATTCCATTCTCGACAGTTTATATAGTATTTATCTCTGATTTAGATATCTTTTGTAGTATTTGAAGATTGTTGTGGATATCAAATTCTGTATTATTGCTGTGGCTGCATATACGGGTGTTCTGTCATCTAGGTGCTAAGCTGCAATATTATTTATTTGCAACCATGTATGTAATCTTGACAATACTGACTTTTAAAAAATTTGGAAGTGTCACTTTACCTGTGTCACTTCCCTCTTCGATTTCCCTCACCGATTCCCCTATTCGACTTCCCTCACCGATTTCCCTCACTCTAATTTATTTACTTTTGCTGGCAACAATGAGAACATGTCAGGTAAAAACGTCAAAACAGTGGTGAATGACAGATTTTGGCATGTTTGTTTTATTTTTTAAATAATAAAAAAATTATATGACCAATCATAATTAATGGTGTGCTTGCAAATAAAATAGTATACAAACCTCGGAGGAAAGTTTGCATTTCTGTCTCGAGATTAATAGTCAATCTCGATGCTCCGCGTCTCGATTGACTATATAAATCTCTCGACAGTAATGAAACACTTCCCTACTCGGTATGTAATATACTATTGCTTCTCGATGTATTATCGGGGTATTTACTATACTTGTTTGCTAGATCTAGTTATTTGATCTAACATGAGTTTCCATAGCTACCCTAAGTTTACAATTGAAATAGTTATTATTATGTAAATGCTCTAGATAATAAATGTGGCAGGGTTGCAGGGTCTACTGCTCCCTCCAAACTATATTAGTTTAAAAAAACGTTCTCAGAAAATTCTCAAATTTGAGAATCTTCTCGAGAATATTCTGGAGAATATTCTCTTTTTTATTATTCTCGAGAATTTTCCATCTCTAAGGAAACATCAAATGAATTTAACACTAATTTCAGTAAGTAGCATAAGAAAAAGGCTGGCAGAAAAAATAAAACGGGGCAATTGGGTGGTAACGACGGTGGTAAATTTTGTTGAAGAGGGGAGTGTTCACTCATTTTTCTTGATGAAGATGTAAAGAAAGTGATATTGGGTTCGGAAAATGGACTCAGGAGTGGGGTGGAGGATCCGAGAGATGATCCTAATAAGAAAATATAAAGATAGATTAGGTCGAGGGTTAGGTAGCCCTCTACTGTAATTTATTTTTCAATTACATAAACAAATGGGTAAAAAGTCACTATTGAACTTTAGACCAATAGCATTCTTTACAACAATCTTTAGTGAGATTGTTGAAAAGTGTCTTGGGAAAAACTATCAATATTTTCGGGGAGAATTTCATACATCTGTCAAAACTGGTATTCCAACAATAAATTGACATGTTTTGATTGTTGATTTGAACCAATCAGATTGTAATTACGCGATAATTTTCACTAGTGCAAATTATCAGATAATTGCATACCTACTAACTGGTGCAAAAACTGGTGTTTTGACATTTTTTGACAAAAAATTTAAATTTTTGATTTATGAAATTCTCTCATTAAATACAACTCGTGCAATGGAAATATATTTATAATTTTCGACAAATTTGCACTCATGCATTCGGGCAAATTTCCCAAAAATTATCAATAATTTCCATTGCACTAGTTATATTACTATTGATTATTTCGCGAATGAAAATGCAAAAACTATGCAAATAAATAAATTAAACGATTTGAACAACTTAACAGTCAATACAAATGAATGGTTCCTTACAGTGACCGTTTGTTCCCGCTAAACATGAAACATTCTTGAAACATTTCATATTTGCAAAAATATTGCACAAATGTAACATAAAACAAATAAGTTTAAAAAATGTTTCTGAAACATTTAATTTTTTTTTTTAATTCCATAAATAACACCTATACCAAAACCTACTGTTTTTATTAATACCCTAGTGGAATTTTCATTTATTAAAGTCAGTTTTTTTATTGAAGACAAAAGTTAAAATGACATTATAATAATAATAATAATAATAATAATGTCAATTCTCTCAAAATTTCAAATTTTTTACGTAAAAAAGGCTTGTGTTGCCAATATAGTTACTGAATTTATGATTTGTGAATTTGTTTTTAATAAAAAACAGACTTTAGGAATCGTGTAGGAGCATTCGTCACTAGGATTAGTCAGGAAAACACCGGTTTCGGTTAAAGAAGAAATAAGCCCTACTATCAAATCAAGCTGACTGCTGAAAAACTCAACTGGACTTCCTTTTTTTTGCTGGTGATTTTCTATCTAACTCAGTTTACATGCGATAGAAAAAGAAAGCAATAGTCCTAGTGGAGGTGTTATTGTCTTGTCCGTCCAAATTATTATAAATAAAATTAAAAAAAGTTATTATAATTAACCCGAAATGAGTGCTTCTGATGATGATGCTCCAAAAACATTGGTAAGTAATCTGATTTTTTTATTTTAATTGGTGACATCCATTGAAAATTCTAAAAATTCTAAAGCTAACCTATAATTATTCTGGAACCAAACAATCTGAATTTCGCTCCAATTTTTGGGACTAAGCTAACGATTTTTTAATGTGCAATTCTTTCGCGCCAACTTTGCACTTGTGTTCTCTTTAATTCAATTCATCAGTCTAATTTTTGTAAGATTTTTACATTATTTTGAACCCAATTTTGAACAAATGGGACGCACAAAGAAAAAGATGGTGTCTAAAAGACATCTTCGGCGTTTGGTTAATATGGAAGTGGAAAAAGAATTAGCAAAATCCAGAAGTTCATTTTGTACCCGAAAAATAGCACCAGATGATTCTTGTGGTGAACCAATAAGTGAAGAACTGGATGGCCTGTGCAATCACATTGAGAATAAAACATATTTAGATACAAGAATCGAGGAATCTACCACTGCAACTACTGCAACTAGTTATCCCAGTATTTATCCCAACTATTATCTTTTGCCTGAGAGTGAGAGTATTCAAGAAAACCAAAATGATGCTGATACTGAATTTGTGAAATCTGTACGGGGCTGGTTTTTGAATTACCGTGAACTTCTAAGCCAAAGTGCAATGAACGAACTGCTTTTAATTTTAAAACCCAAATGTAAAACTTTACCTAGTGATAGCAGAACATTTTTAAGTACTCCACAATCTTGTCAGTTTCCAATATCTGTTGTGTCCCCAGGAAAATATTGTCATTTTGGATTAAAATATATGTTACAGAATATATTAAATACCAAAAATCTGCTAGAGTTTTGCGAAGACGGAAAAACCCTTTCCTTATCGCTCAGCATTAATATTGACGGTTTACCACTGTCAAGGAGTTCAACAAGTCAGTTTTGGCCAATTTTGATAAGCATTGATAATGAAAATTTAGAATGTCCCAATCCATTTCCAATAGGAGTTTATCATGGTTTTAAAAAACCAGAGTCAGCTTTGAAGTACCTGCAGGAGTTTCAGATCGAATTCAAACAACTAGAAAACGGCTTTCGCTTCAAAAACATCGAAGTGAAAGTACAAATTTCAAAAATAATATGTGACGCACCAGCGAAGTCCTTTATTTTATGTGTGAAGGGTCATACTGGTTATTTTAGTTGTACAAAGTGTGTGCAAGAAGGTGAATATATAAATGGCAGAGTGACTTTTCCGGATCTATCAGCTGTCTTGCGTACAGATGACGACTTTAAAAATAAAACTTGTGAAGACTATCACAGAGGAAATAGTCCTTTTGATGAACTATCTGTGGGTTTAGTGTCTCAGGTGCCACTGGACTACATGCACTTAGTATGCCTAGGCGTTATGAAACGTCTGATTATTTTTTGGGTTAAGGGAAATAAAAGTGTCAGATTACCTGAACTAAAACTTAAAACTGTTGACGAAAATTTAATCACTTTAAAATCAAGTATTCCAAAGGAGTTTTGTAGGTTGCCAAGAGGTTTGCAAGAAGTTGATCATTTTAAAGCAACCGAATTCAGGCAAATTTTACTATATACAGGACCATTTGTTTTAAAAAATAATTTATCTAAAATTCAATACTCACATTTTATGTGTTTGCATGTTGCTATCAGAATTTTGTGTAGTGCAAATTTGTATATTACATATCTATGGTGGGTGAGCTAACGAGTACAAGTCAAAATTTTGCGAAAATGAGTTTAAGTCATTTTGGTATATATTTTCGGTTCCTACATCGACTGGTCCAAACAGTATTAGTCAATTTATTTGAAATACTTTACTTTTAATTTCAATCCACATAGTTTAACTTAAAAGGAATTTTATTCTGTTGGCATATCAGTATAAGTTGAATTGTACTATATAGATTATACACTAATAATAAAATTCAAATAGTACAAGTAGACTTATACTATTCCTATTCTGATTTTGTCGGTCGACTTATACTTTTAGTACCATTTGGTGACCAAAGAGGTTATGTTATCAGCAAAAAAAAAGTGTTTTGTGAAAAAGAGTTGGCCTTCTTTTCCAGTTTTTGCAAATATTAAATTTTGGGTTGAGCAAAACTAGTATAAGTCATTTCTTAGGTCAGGTCAAACTATTATAAGTCATATTATCTTATTTCATAATAATATATGTCATCTATAGGTCTGGTCAAAAGAGTATAAGTCCATTTTTTTTGTAATAAAAAAAAAAACAGAACAAAAAAAAAATAAAAAAATAGATTATCTCTAATAAAAAAACACCTTTGTAAAGTTAAAAATTTGATTCGTCCGAAACAGCCACAAAAAATCCGATTATTTTAAAGTCTAATATTTCGAAAGCATTTTTCTTGATTTGTCTAATTTTGACTTGTACTCTTTAGCCCACTCACCATAGAATTATAATAATTATGCATCTCAACTATTGAAATATTTTATTGAAAAATTTGCAGTAATTTATGGTACTGAGTATGTATCCCATAATGTGCATGGACTTTTACATCTACCTTCGGACTGCATTAAACATGGAGTCCTTGATAATTTTAGTTCATTTCGATTTGAAAACTATTTATATATCTTGAAAAAAATTATGAAAACATCTAAGCATCCCCTGCAGCAACTGTGCAATCGCTTGAAAGAAAAAGAATTAAATTTAATACCATTCAGTAAAAGATCAAATAAGCCCATTATACTTCACCAAGAAATTGCAATGTATTTGCCAGGCTATCCAAATTGCACTTTTTTTAAAAGATTGCAAATTGGAAATTTTGAGCTTAGTTTGCATCCAAAAAATAATTGCGTTTTGTTGCATAATGAAACTTTCGTATTTATAGATAAAATCTACACAGATAATTCAACAAATGAAATATTTGTTTCAGGAACAAATGCACAAAATGTTAATTCATACTATGAAAGTCCATGCTCCTCCACAATTTTTAATATAAGCATAGTAACAAACATCTCAAAGAAAAGTCAAAATTATAAAATATGTGAGATCAAAGGAAAATGTTTTCATTTCCAAACTGTGGATGGTATTGTAATTATTCCATTAATTCATTGTTAAATTTTTTAAGTTATTTTTTATATAATTTTAATTATTTTGTATCATTAATTTGTAATTTAATTTGGTATTTCTGTACTTCCGTTTGTTTGGACTAGTTAGTTATAGTAAAAAATGTAAATAGCCTAAGCAGTTTTTAAATTTAAGGAATGGTCTATTGTTAAATTTCTTTGTGATGACAAAATATCACATGTTCCATCAACATGGCTGTCCATCCACAATCTGAAGGAAAACAACATTGCTCTTTGCTTCTGGCCTAGAAAAAATGCAGGCAAAAAAATTATTGGTCGATCGATTCCTGATTCTGAAAGTTGGGACAAACTGGAAGTGGTTATTCTAAAACAAACTGGTTAGTACTTTTGAGCCTCTACCTGTTTTCATTCATTAATTTTTTTTTTTTTTAGATTCATATTCAGAAGCAAGAGAATACATAAGACTAATGTCTGAAGGAGAAAGTGCACCAGAAACAAATAAGCCCTTGGGAAAGGGCCATAGGAAAGCCAAAAAACGTCCTTTTTTATTTAATGACTCTGATGATAGTGAGAGTGATGTAACAGGGGTAATTACACCGCCTCCAACTATAGAGTCCCCAAAAATTAGAAAAGTGAATAATTCTGAACCAAACAATAACAGTACCAATAAGAAAATAGAGTCGTTCTCATCTCAAAAAGCAAATAAATCATTTGATTCCCAAACAAGTAGTAATTCAGTTTAAACAGGCATAATATACTTTATTAATTTTTCTCTTTCAGCAACAATCATTCACACAGTTTCAACTGAAATGGCATCAAATGTTATTACTTGATTAACCTCAGTGAGTGCCATCAACAAGGGTAAGTTTTTTTCCTGTTGTAGTCAAGGCTTTAATGAACATTTTTTTTTCTAGAAAACAATAATAATCATAGCTTGGTTCCATCAGCTGCCCCGTCACATTGTAGTTGCAACTGCCAAGGTAAGTACTAAATGTAGGTTTATTGGAATTTACATTCCATTCTATTTCATGTATTTTCCAGAATCTCCATTAATTAAATCAATTTTAAGCAATACTGTTGCAATTAGAACAATGTTGGAGAGGCTAACTTCAGATGAAACAATGAGAAAAAATGATGACATAATTACCGATTTTGACTTGGTACCTAAGAAACCATTCTCAAAGTTCAAAAAGTTGAAAGAGTTTGATGAAAAACTAAAGACTGACAAAAGTGTAGAACGCCAGAATGTAAGTGTACTTAATTTGGATTAGTATATTTTACATTAATAATAAAAATGTATTCATTACCTTAGGAAACTGCTCTGTTCTTGCTTGGAGGGTCAAGTTACAAAGAATTAATAAGAAGAGGCGTAAAAAAAATATTCACGGACAAATTGGCTACAAAATGTAGCTGGACAGGCCGTAAAAATAATTTTCCTCTTCATAATTTGAAAATACTGGATGTTCTTAAAATAGCTACAAGAAAAAAATTTGGTAGTACTACGGATGCCGAATTTCAAGCAGAAGTGGGTTTGTGGTTCAGGCAAGGAAAGCTGAGATTTGAAAGATCGCTAGCAGCAGTAAACAAAGAAAACCAAAACCGGGTAAGGTTTTTTTTCATTTATACAAGGCGTGAACTCGTTCATTTATTTTTTATTACATAAAACAATTGATCCTAGCACTAATTATATTTTTTCTTTCACTTTTAGGCTGCCACTGTGGAAGGAATGGAATAATAATAATTATTAGAAGATATTATAACAGATCTCTTCGAATAAAAACAGTATTTTATTTTTTACATGAAATTGTAGTATTATTTATTTTGCCTATTTATATTGTTTTGTAACGTACCTGAACTGTAATTTTGAAGCATTTCATAAACGTTAACTTGAAACGTTACATGAACATTTTTGAAAAGAAGTTTTGGTATGATTAATATGTAACGTTTCAAAATGTTTCCCTGCAATGTTACAATGAAACATGAGGTAGGACATTTTCAGTTACATATACATTTCTGACACATTTATGTGCAGTTTGATGAAACATTTCAAGCTTTAAATATACGTTTCTGATACATTTCAGAAACTGAAAAATGTTTAGTGGGTTTGTATCAAAAATTAGCATGACAACCATGAATACAATAACATGGGAGAATGGGAGAATTATCAATAGTAATATAACGAGTGTAATGGAAATTATCGATAATTTTCGGGAAATTTGCCCGAATGCATTTTTAGTTGAAAAAGAGCATGAGTTCACGTAGTGCACGAGTGCCTTTGTCAGTTAAAAACGCATGAGTGCAAATTTGTCGAAAATAATAGATTTATTTCTATTGCACGAGTTGTATTTTATGAGAGAATTTCAAGAATCAAAAATTTAAATTTTTCGTCTAAAAATCTCAAAACACCAGTTCTCGCCTTCTCGCACCAGTTAGGTACTATGCAATTATCCGATAATTTGCACTATGCGTAATTCCAATCTGATTGGTTCAAATCAACAATCAAAACATGTCAGTTTATTGTTGGAATATCAGTTTTGACAGATATATGAAATTCTCAATAGTAATATAACGAGTGCAATGGAAATTATCCATAATTTTGGGAAAATTTGCCCGAATGCATTTTTAGTTGAAAAAGAGCATGAGTGCACGTAGTGCACAAGTGCCTTTTTCAGTTAAAAACGCATGAGTGCAAATTTGTCGAAAATTATAGATATATTTCCACTGCACGAGTTGTATTTTATGAGAGAATTTCATGAATCAAAAATTTAAATGTTTTGTCACAAAATGTCAAAACACAAGTTCTCGCACCAGTTACTATGCAATTATCGCGTAATTCCAGTCTGATTGGTTCAAATCAACAATCAAAACATGTCAGTTTAATATTGGAATGTCAGTTTTGACAGATGTATGAAATTTTCGCTGTAATTCTCTCTAGTTAACCTAATGGGCGAAAGAATTTTCACTGTAATTTTCAAAATTGTCACTTGTCTTATGTTATGGGATTTCCAACACATGAGTGGAATAATCAGTAAAAAAGTACAGGCAACTTGAGTACTGAAAATGCACTTGTGAGGGCTTCAGAAGGAATTTAAAAAAAAAAACTTAGATCAGGGTAACAAAGTAATAGCAATATTCTTAAAGGAGTTTTTAGCGACTAACCGTTTGTAACTTAACTGTGTTATAAGCGATAACTGAAATTAGGCGTTTTTGGAAACTCTGATCTTATTATTATTCAATAATCTTCCTCATGCTGCCATTGGTGCCCTTGCTGACGCCATACATAACTCCATTGAATTGGGAAACTTTCCCCCTCTTCTAAAAAAGGCCATAGTCATCCCTCTGTTTAAAGGAGGTGATACTGGCTCACCCTCTAGCTACAGGCCCATTTCTTTGTTGCCCACATTGGCAAAGGTTGTGGAAAGGATTGTTAAGGGTCGTATGACTTCATTTTTGGAGAGGCATAATGTTATTTCAGCCTCACAATTCGGATTTCAGTGCACAAAAAATACAGATGATGCCATGGTCCACCTTCTGGATCAACTTTATCTTGGCCTCAATGATCGAGAGTTCGCGTCGGCAGTGTTCTGTGACCTGGCAAAGGCCTTTGACTGTGTCAATCATGGGATTCTGCTGGGCAAGCTTGAGATTTATGGTTTCAGAGGGTCAATTTTGAACTGGTTCAAGTCATACCTATCTGATCGCGTCCAGAGCGTATCTTTCAACAACTACACTTCCACTGAGCTCCGGGTCGAAGCAGGGGTTCCTCAGGGGTCTGTTCTGGGACCCCTTCTGTTTCTTCTTTATGTCAACGACCTCTCTTCTGTGATTGTTAATGGCCAATGTACTTCCTTTGCAGACGACACTACTATCCTATGGCATCATGGTAGTGCTGCTCTGCTCAATGACATGGTGAACACTGACCTATCAAATATCAAAAAATGGTGTGATGCTAATTTGCTTTCATTTAATGTTTCCAAAACGAACATAATTCACTTTAAGGGTAATTTCAATAATTCCATTTCAATTGACGGTCAGCCTATCAACAACTTGAGCGAAAACCGATTTTTGGGCTTGTACATTGACAGTAGGCTGAAGTTTGGGACTCATATCTCCAATTTGTGCTCTAGAATGTCTTCCGGCTGCTTCGCTATCAGGGCTGTAAAAAATGAATTAAATACCGATATCGCAAAGAATGTTTATTTTTCTCTTATAGAGTCCCATCTAAGATATGGCATTTGTTTTTGGGGATCTTGCTCTCATAACCTCTTCCAGTCAGTATTTGTGTTACAGAAGCGCGCTATTAGATGTGTTTTCGGTTTGCGACTCCGAGACTCGTGCAAGCCTACATTTAAAGCTGAAAAAATACTGACGGCTTATAGCATTTTCATATTGGAGTCTGTGTGCTTAATGCATAGGAAGTACCTGAATCTGGTACACTCTGTATCCGCTGTAAATACTCGAAGCTCGTTTACCATTGATCTGCCCATTCCCTCTTCAACTTTAACCATGAACTCGATTCTTTATAATAGTAAAAGGCTGTTCAATAAGTTGCCTGTCCAGATTCGACGAATTGTAGATTACAGGGTGTTTAGAAATACGGTGAAAAGACTCTTGGCTGCGGAGGGGTTTTACAGTTTTGATGAGTTCCTTTCCCATAATTTCAATTAGGTTTAAATGACTAGCTAGCTAATGCCACCCTAGATATTCATTCATTTATAGGTAGATATTGATATTTTTGTTTTTTTATTTTTTTTTTTTTTATTTTAATTTTAATTTTAATTTTGATTTTAATTTTGATTTTGATTTTAATTTTAATTTTAATTTTGATTTTAATTTTGATTTTGATTTTGATTTTAATTTTAATTTTAATTTTGATTTTATTTTAATTTTGATTTTGATTTTAATTTTAATTTTAATTTTGATTTTAATTTTAATTTTGGTTTTGATTTTGATTTTGATTTTGATTTTAATTTTAATTTTGATTTTGATTTTGATTTTAATTTTAATTTTAATTTTAATTTTAATTTTATTTTTATTTTTATTTTTATTTTTATTTTTATTTTTATTTTTATTTTTATTTTTATTTTTATTTTTATTTTTATTTTTATTTTTATTTTTATTTTTATTTTTATTTTTATTTTTATTTTTATTTTTATTTTTATTTTTATTTTTATTTTTATTTTTATTTTTATTTTTATTTTTATTTTTATTTTTATTTTTATTTTTATTTTTATTTTTATTTTTATTTTTATTTTTATTTTTATTTTTATTTTTATTTTTATTTTTATTTTTATTTTTATTTTATTTTTGTTTTTGTTTTTGTTTTTATTTTGGTTTTTGTTTTTGTTTTTAATTTTTATTTTTGTTTTTATCTTCATTGTTTAGTGATTAGAATTTTATTACTAGTTATCAAGATATGTAATCTATTAGGAAGTTGGATCTTATGGATATTATGATTATGTAGTTTATTTTCCACAGCTTTGTAAATGAGACTATGTCTTCCTACAATAAAGCAATATTGATTTGATTTGATTTGATTTTATTAATCGGATCACCAGCTGATGTACCATGTCTTTTTTCAATCGTGTTCACTGAAGAAAGACAAAAACAAACAGCTGGTGATCGGGTTAATCGTCTAAGCATTTCCGAAAAGTCCTAATTTCAGTTACCGTTTATAATACGGTTAGTCGCTAAAAAATCCTTTTAGACTTAAGAAGGCATTTGACACTGTTTCGATAAATTAAGGGACGTCCTCAATTTTACAACACCCAATGATTCACTAAGCTCTTGTTGAATCGATTTTGAAGGATAGCCACATTACTATCTTATTCTGGCGTATCAGTTCTCTCAGAATTATATGTTGTAACCAGCTCATAAATAATCTTAACTCGGTCTTAAGATTTAAAGTCAGGCCTATAGTTTATTACAGCAACGCGAGATGTCAGTACTGTCGCCCCTATAGTGTGCCCTAACTTGATAGTAAAAAAAAATAGAAATCTGCATTTGATTAAATCATGTGATGGAAAGTTTTTTCTTTTTTTTGCGGAAATTCGAAGTATTATTTTGTTTTACATAAACAGGGTTGTAGTTTGGACCAACACAAATAATTTTGAACGTTCATCCGTCGGATTTTTGTTTAAACAGTGTAGCTACAGGCGTATTTCCAACTATTCTTGCAGTAGCGAGAAAACTACAAGTTCAAAAAATTTGAAAAAAATATATGTCGCGTAGAATTGCAATAGTAGTTCGTAATAAAAATAACGGGAAACTTCATCTATTCGTTTTGAAATAAATGGTGAAAAACCACTATTTTTTCAGTTTTTGCGATATAACTCAAAAATGGCGAGTCAAATTTGCTTAAAAAAATTATGGATTAAAGTATATCAATAACCATAAAACATATATTTTTTTTTGGAATTTTTGAACACAAGGTTCAGAAAATGGGGGTTGACTTTAAACCTTAAACTTGCGAATATAAGTATGAGCCACACACAATATTATTATTATTGTGCACCAAATACCTAGATTGTTGGGAATATAGCGAGGAATATGGGTATTATGTCTATTTTCTTGTGCTACTGATAATGGTAATAAACGAGGTAATAGATAAATATATAATATACAGTGAGCACGTGAAGGTTGGAATAAAATTCATAAAATATACAGGGTTGATATTTTTCAAAAAACCTTGGACACATCAATTTTTAATTTTAGTGGCCATTTTTTACATGATGATTTCATGTATACAGGGTGACCCAAATACAAGTTATGACAGCAACAAGTTTATTTTTTTATCCCATTTTGACGTTTAAAAATGACATTATTGAACGCATAACAATAAAGGTAAGTAGACGTTTATCACCTCAGTGATTTAAAAACATTTTAACTCACTGTCGGCATTTTAAGTCACTCTGCCCAACTAAAAATCTGAAACCTCAGTGATTTAAAATATTTTTAATTCACTCCCGGCATTTTTCCTTGTACTTTATTTTTAAATTTCCACAAAATGGGATAAAATTTTGTATACATCACGTGAGTTAAAATGTTTATTCATTCGAAGAAAATTAACCCACTCGCCAGGGCTCGTGGATTAAACTTTCTTCTCATGAATAAACATTCATTTAACTCACTTGGTGTATAAATAACTATTAAATAAAAACACCAATTTTTTTATTTCATTTTAAATTTTATTTCATGTCCCATCTCCAACTATTTCAAAAATATTGATAGTTGAAAACTGACTTTTTTGCAACTTTGAGAGGTTGTAAAACCTAAACCTCGACCTAAACGGTTAATTCTAGACTCGATTCTAGAGCAAAATCGATCATACATTCTCATTTTTATTTTTCCATGTTATCATTTGACACTACTTAACTTTTAAAATTTAACTGGTGATTAAATTTAACAGGAATTTTTGATCACGGATTAAATTCAAAGTTGGTGTCACATGATAGTATATGGAAAACTAAGCATGTATCATCGGTTTTGCTCTAAAATTAACCTTTCTGGTTTAACCGAGGGTCTCAGTGTTTTCATTTGAAAAAATGAAGTTAGCTGTCATAACTTATTTTTGGGTCACCCTGTATACATGACTATTTCACTAACCAGCAATAAATTCGGAATTCACCTGACAATAATGCTACCTGGACAATACCAACAACATGGTATTTCAGCGACCATCTTTTGACATTGTCAAACTGGTATTTTTAATTTGAAGTTTTTATTCATAATTTTGTAATCTATTTATTTTCAAAATCTTACGTGAAATAGTCATGACGAATAGCACTCGAGAAAAAATTGTGTAGGCAAAATTGTTCTCAAGGTTTTATTCAAGTTTGTTGCTTTTCGGCAATTTCGCTCATTTCACTCGCCTGACGGCTTGTGATTTTGTCAAAAATGTCATTCGCCAAGCAACAAACTTTCATACCTTTCGGAAATTTTGCCGACAAAATTTTTTCTCTTGTGACATTATATATGAAAATATCATGTAAAAAACGGCCACTAAAATCAAATATCGATGTGTCCAAGGTTTTTTGGAAAATATCAACCCTATATATTTTATGGATTTTATTCCAACCCTAACATGCTCACTGTATAATATGGTTTCTTTATATTGAAGTTGAAATAAGATATTATAGGTACAAATATCCTTTGTGGTCACTGGGATGGAACCACACTACTGAGACTGAGGTCGACAAGGACAAGTTAACTTGCGAGTACTTATCAGTCTTCATAATGCTGGCTAGATATTAGTGATCAAAGGCAAAGTGCTGGGTACCTATTTTCAACATTTGAGTGAGCAGGTATACTAAAAAATCCCGAAAACTTACTTTATCTCTTCTTCCGTAAATATGTTGCTTTGCTTTATTTGAAGTAAAGCTGGTGCAAATGCCTCCATTCGTTTTTCTACTATTTCTCCCATTTTGGCTTGTTAAATGCGGTACCTGGAGACTGGAGAGTTTAGAGCTAAGTAATGTCCACGGTATGCCTGACAGTTTTAAATATTCACTAAGTTGAATCCTAGACAGGAGAAAAACGCAAACACGAGAGTAGATTAGGAATTAGATCCACTACTATGCACAACAAAACAGCACAAATTTTTAATTTACCCTACCTAGAATTTACCAACACGAAATTTTTTTTAGGTTAGGAGGACTAGGACTTCGAGGGGAAGGACAAGGTACTCAAGACTCAAGGTATTATACCAGGAGAGGATAGCCTGCTCCTATTTTACGAATTTATGACGTCACAAAATGCAACTGTCAAACATGGACTGTTTATTTTAAATTATAGCGCTTTCGACTTTTGCCTCAAAACTGCACCCGATAGATCAAAAAGCGATCCGTGTTCGACTTGACCTATGCAACCTTAGAGCCGTTTTACACGGCAAAGTTTCTTCATGAAATTACTTACGAAATTGTTGCCGAAATATTTCGTAGGTAAAAGTTGACCTGTTTTACACGACAAGAAAAACTTACGAAATATTTCACGAAAATGTTCTATAGTTTTTGTGGGCGTGGCCGAAAATATGCGTGAGTTTCGGCGCACAGTAAAGGCAGTTTCTTTTTCGTGGAGCCTATGAATGCTTCATTGAATTTCCTATGCAATAGATAAGGATAAACTGCTCATCTTTGGAAAAAGTAATGCACCCAAAAACAGCTGGGCAAATTAAAAAAAAAACAAAATTTATTTATGGAAGGAAAAAATAAATTCAACTTTATGAAACTTTAGGAGGGTACAAAGATTCAACAACAATTAGAAAACGGAAGTTTTATTTATTTTGATATATCAAAGTATGAGGTTATGATTTGATATTATTGATGGCAAAACGTAACTGCGCCTGCGTATGACTAATATTTTCACGAAACTTTTGCTAGACTTTTATTTGCCGTGTCAAACAGGAATAAGCGAAACCAAGAATAGTGAACTTACGAAATATTTCGGCAATAATTTCGTGAAGAAACTTTGCCGTGTAAAACGGCTCTTAGACAAGCATGGAACGCTCTCAAATCTCGCAAGGAGCGCTCTTTCTTAAGCCTACTACTTATAACTGCGAAATTCGCATTTTTTTGACAATTTGACGTTTGATACACGCATAAAACTCAAATTGTCAACGCAATGTCAAAAAAATGCGAGTTTCGCAGTTATGAGTACTAGGCTTTACTCCGTCAAATTCGATGGAACAGAACAATAAAGTACTTTCGGCTACTGATTTCAAATGGTGTGCCCTCGTTTGGTTAATAATCCCTCTCTCCACTCGGAGCACTCCCTCGCAGATAAAACCGGCCTTCATTAGCGCTACGAAAAATACCATTCTTGACAAATATACCATCATACATTCGCCTGACTATAGGCCAAAGGCCAAATATATTATCAAAATATTTGTCACATCACAGACTGCGTTCGTTTGCGTTTATTCTCTCGAAGTGCTGACTACGGAGCGTTGGAGCTTGAGCTAGAGCAGAGGTCAGCTATCATCGGGCACACCGAGAATGAAATAAATTTTGATCGGAAGCGGAATGCCTCATTCTCACTTGCGCGAAATTCGCACTTTTTTGACGTTGCTTCGAGAATTTGACGTTTTATGCGTGTATCAAACGTCAAATTGTGGAAGCAATGTCAGAAAAGAGCGAATTTCGCGCAAGTGAGAATGACTAGAAGGCTCCAAAGGAGAATAAACGAACGGCTATTAACAATTTCGAGCGCACGGAGCCCATAAATCAAATAAACGAACGCAACGTAAATGTGGAGTAGAGCCGCAGACCGCCCATCCCTGTCAAGGATAATACACACTCACCGCACACTGTCCGCACTACTTCTACTACTACCACCACAGGGTTGCGTTTAGAAATAGCACTCTGGGTGTGAGAGTGACCCTAGAGTAACTCTAAACCGTTCATAAATTAACAGGTGCTTACTCGGAGCGTTACGCTGGAATCGTTCAGAAATCGAGAGTTGACGTGCTTTTTACCGGGTTTGACGTTGACAATAAGCGCAACACCCCAATTACCTTCAGAAAAGGCGCACCCAGAGTACACTCCAACTGATGACGTCGAACACTCTGACAAACAACTACTCTACCTTCACACTCCATTTCTAAACGCACTTCAGCATATACAAAATTAATCAGTGGGCTAATAGTACGGGATACGAGGCCTATTTCATCAAATCATTTTACACCGTCTTGCATTGTTATCATCAGTTAGATAAAATGGTACTGAAACGCACTTGTGCAGGGAAATAGATGGGAGTGGGGGATTTCGCTGAAAAAAATGTGTCAGAAAATGTCGTCATAAATTAGGAAAATATATAATTATACACCGTCTTGCATTTCTTTATTGAGTCAGTTTGTACACAAACAAAATTGAATTACCACATGCAAGACGTTTTTATGGGGGTTTTAGGGTTGCAATAGAAGATGGAAATTGTCAATTTGTGAGAGGGGTGGAAAATCATTTTACACCACTCCATTGTTGATTTAGATTAAAGCTTGAATGTAGAATAGCTACTGGATACTGATACAAGACGTCCTGTGGAGGGATAACGGGCTGCAAGACGGATGTCAATGCGTTGTCTCATGAGGGAGTGAAAATTTATTTTACACCACTTCATGCTTATGACCGCCGGAAGAATATATGTTAAAAAATGGTAATACATCAGTCCAAGACGTTTTTTCGGGGAAAAAAGTTAATAAATCCGTTTTCTTTTTTTACTGAACTTTTGAGTTATTTACTGAACCGTTCACTGTTCATTCTTTTCTAAATCATACAGATGGAAAAGGACAGTTGACATAGCAGCTCAACAGGGGAGTCTGCTGAATACAGGAATTATAATTTCTGTTTACAATTCCAGGCAGATCATTTTTTTGCTGCTTTAAAATCAAATTTCTCAAATTTACCTAATACCTACTTACAATCCGTTAGGTGTTATGACATATCCACCTCAAAAAAAAAATAAAATGATTATAAGCTGTCAGAAAAAGAACAATTTTCAACCTTTTTTTTTTGATGTCCGTAGAGTCATTCAAATATACATATTAAGAGAATTTTGCAAAATAGAATTATTCTACGTGGTAAAAGCAAAAATATCTAAAATTATTGTGCGTAATTTGTAATTTGGAGTAGTATTCACATTTGTACCTGATGGATTTACCCCCGTCAAAATTAGTCAACTTCATCACCGTCTTGCAGTCCTTTCTCTCCATTTAGAACGTCTTGTATTTTTTAAAATGTTATCAATGTGTTCTGTTTTTCCCATTAGTATCAGTGCAAGACGGTGTAAAATGATTTCTCATCCTTCATAAGACAACACATTGACCTCCGTCTTGCAGTCCGTTATCCCTCCACAGGACGTCTTGCATCAGTATCCAGTGGCTATTCTACATTCAAGCTTTAATCTAAATCAATAATGAAGTGGTGTGAAATGATATTTCACCCCTCTGAAAAATTGACAATTTCTATCCAATATAACAACCCCAAAACCTCCATGAAAACGTCTTGCATGTGTTGATCCAATTTTGTTTGTGTACAAATTAACTCAATAAATAAATGCAAGACGGTGTATAATTATATATTTTCCCTGTTTATGACGACATTTTCTGGAAATTTTTTTTCAGCGAAATCCCCCACTCCCATCTATTTCCCCGTACAGGTGCGTTTCAGCATCATGTTATCTAACTGATGATAACAATGCAAGACGGTGTAATATGATTTGATGAAATAGGCCTCGTATCCCGTACTATAACTCGAGTGACAGCCCGTGTAAAGCCTAGTACTCATAACTGCGAAATTCGTACTTTTTTGACATTGCTTCGACAAATTGACGTTTTTAAGGTCTGTTCCCACAGGAGTCTTTGACAGTTTGCAAACTGTCAGAAACAATCGCTCAGCTGATTTACAGATTAATCTTGGAACGACAACATTGAAAACATGCATGGGCGATGCTTACTGACAGTTTGCAAACTGTCAAAGACTCCTGTGGGAACAGACCCTTATACGTGAATCAAACGTCAAATTGTCGAAGGAATGTCCAAAAAGTGCGAATTTCGCAGTTATGAGTACTAGACTTAATAAAGGAATTCATGGTCGGGATGTCACTAGCGGCCATTTAGGGATACGAGACAGGGCCTGATTAACACTTTTAAGTTTTTTCTTTCGTGTCACAGAGTCGTATTCGCTTTAAATAAACTAATTTATTATTACTTACATATAATAATGTTTATAATTAGTAATTTATTATTATTATTAAATATACAACAATGATAACAGATAACACCATAAATGACAAAACGAATATACTAAAATCACTTTGAAAATCATAACTAAAATTCCGCTCTACACTGCACGCCTATGACCTCTGTCAGAAATAAACAAATAAAATAAAATTTCGGCGTCCCTGCCGTTTAATGACAGGATGGTATCCCCTAATGGCGGCGTGCGCAGAAAAGATGCGCGTGAGAGTTAGCCTGCTGATTGTTTTTGTATATGTTGTGCTACTACTACAGGATAAGGAAAGCTTATCCTCATAAGGTCTGTGTGGATCAAATCTCAAGCCCCCCACCACGCCCAAGAACCTGTGATGACGTGCAGCGTGTCGTTACTCTCCTTGACGTAGGTGTCGGTCGCACCGGTGTCACACTCACACTGGGTGTGTCATTCCTGAACTCGCCCCTGGTTATGATTCCGCGTATGCACAAAGCAAAAGCGCTTTGTGCATACATGGTTTTAGTACAGTGAAACATTCTAAAACAACGCTTTTCCAGATCTTGTTTGCTTCTTCCTCTTATTTGCTTATTGTTATAATAGAATAAAATATAGCCGCGATTCCCAGAAACGAGGCGGACAAGCAATAGAGCTACTCGCTCCGGTGATAGTCGACCCCGATTTGAAAGAAGAGATACGCTTACTTTCCTGCATTTAAATGGTCTGAGTTGAGCTTGAGTACTCAGGTGCAACAAACACTTTTCGAAAGGAATAAGCGCGTAACACCCCGGAGCTGTTCCGGAGCTCCTTCTAAGTGTGAAAGGAATACAACTACTCCTAAGTAGTAGTGTGTATTATCCTTGCATCCCTGTGACGTTTGACGTTCCTTGTTGTCAAGCATGCGCATTCCGAGGCAGTGGCATTCCGCATTCTTTTGTTTTTAAATTTTAAGTTTACTATTTTAGAGACTTGAGCTGTGGAATTTTCAAATTTTTTTATATTTCAATTTTTTCCTGCTCTGACTCTGCATCCTAACCTGAGAAGTGAGAACTGTAGAATTAAAAGAAAGTGATAAATTTATAAGGTAAAATAGTTAAACTAAAGTAGCAATAGCTGGTTTTTATTTTATAGGGAGTGATCCCTACGCTTACTGGTAGGTCCTTTGTTATCCAACGATCGTACGTCTACCGGTAGGTCCTTTTTCATCCATCGAGTGTGCGCCTAATACTGGTAGGTCCTTTTTCGTCAATTGATCAAGCGCCTACTGGAAGGTGTTTTATTTTTTATTACTTAAGAATCTGTATATCCTACCAGTCAGCTCTTGCTAGGGCTTTATTAGTATTATTAGTACCTTTAGTAGTATTATTAGTACCTAACTGACATCTTTCTAATTTGGGCTTTGAATTTGTTGATGTTTGGAATCTGCTCTATTCTTAAGGCTACCATATTATTCTGATAAAAAAACTGGACATTTTTATGAAGCAAATGTGTCATCGAGTGTGTCATGTACCTATTTATAGAAAAAATAGCGCCGCAGGTGAAATTTTTTTTTCGGAACTAATCGGAACCACACCCGAAGGACAAACCCACGAATAATACACACTACTACTACAGGATAGCCTATCCTCATAAGGCCTGTGTACAAAAAATCCGAAGCCCCCCTACCCCACTAAATCACCATTTGTGACGTAGGTAGCATGTCGTTTCTCGCCTTGACGGCTGTTTTTTTTTTTTTTTTTATACATAACATTTATTTACATATAACATTTATTTTACATAAATTACATTTATTTCAGATCAATAAACATTCTTGCATACTACATGTACTATATGCCAACTTATCATTTAAATCGAATACATACATTGTTAGAAAAGCACCTAGACTGTGACGTCTGTATGTGCAAAGTAGTCTATACATAAGTAGGTACTAGTAAAACTAGCAAAACCATGTGATCTGTTAAAAACATTAGGTTGGTCTGACCAAACGAAACAAATTATAGGTAAAACAATAAGTACTATAAATATAAAAAAGTAGGCTTAGACTTAAAAACTTCATAATTCAAAAGAACAGCCTAATTAAGAATTAGGGTTGAAGATGTTGCAATTATTGTTACACGAATCCTCTCTGTGACAAAAGAGCCAGGCAGGCATTGTGATTATTAAAGAAGTAAGATTTACACATTCTGGAAAACGCATCATATCTTTTTAAGTTTTTCATCTCTCTAGGTAATAGGTTATAGATTTTTGGCGCCATACCGCTGACAAATCTCTGACTTCGATCCCTTCTATAAAAAGGCACAGCTATGTTTTGATTACAAACCTGTCTAGTCTGATAATTATGCGATATAGGATTTTTGTAATTATTATTTTTATAAATAAAAAGGCAGCATTTGTGGAAATACAACATGCACATATTCAGTATGTCACTACTATACAATTGATAAGTTGGTTGCAGTCTACTCTTTCTGAAAATAATTTTCAGTATATAATTCTGAATAATATTAAGCGGTTCCAAAGTATTGCTGTACAGGGCACCCCACACAATGATTCCGTACTGAAGAACTGATTCCGCCAAGACTTTAAATAAATAAATAAATAAATAAATAAATATTTTATTAACGACAACGTCATTTAAAAGTGTTTACAATAATAATAAATATAATATATATATAAAAAAAACATTTAGTAAAACAATCAAGTAAAAAAAACAATAACAATCTAATCAAGGAACATTACACTTGTTAATAGGATTATCTTTAGACCACTATATCACAGGTTTTTAGGTACAACTCATAGAGTGTAATATACATAATATAATCAGACTTATACAAGAGAGAAAAAAAGAACATAATACATACTACAATAATAGTTGCTGCAGTACTGGCATTAGGGATCTTAATTAAACATGTTTTATTTTTCTTTTAAAGGAATTTAGGCTTACATTAAAAAAATCGATATTCAGTCTTTCAATGATATTATTAGCCAACCCACAGAATCTTGAGATGGGAGAATTTAAGCCATAATTAGTTCGATGATGTTTGATATAAAATAGCCTATTTGTTCTAACATTACAATTTCTAGGTACATGAAAACCAATCAGTGACAAAAGATCTGGTGACTGTATGATATTATTTATAATTTTGTATACGATACATAAGTCTTGCTGGTCTCTTCTTTGCTGTAAAGTTTGCATGTTTAAAAGGGATAAAATGTCATCATAATCAATAGAGTCATAATTGATATTCAATCTAAATGCAATTTGTCTCAGAAATTTTCTTTGAACTCGCTCTATTGCATACTTTTGATTTTCATAAAAAGGAGACCAAACTGGACTGGAGTATTCTAGTACTTGCCTAACAATTGCAGAATATGCATTCCTCAAAGTAAAAATATTATTGAAATCTTTCAAATTGCGAAAATCAAATCCCAGTAGCCTCATTGCTTTATTAGAAATCCTATCTATATGCTCATGAAAGTTTAATTCCACATCCAAATAAACCCCCAGGTCTCTAATAACATAAACTCTCTCCAGTTCAACATTGTTGATAGAATAATTGAAAATGAAAGGATTCCTTAGACACCCAAAGGACATTACTTTACACTTATCAATATTAAGAGAAAGATTATTCAATTCGCACCAGTCAAAAAACCCATTTAGCTCGTTTTGCAGTGTAACACAATCCTGCAAACTTCCAACCACAATAAAAATTTTCTTGTCATCTGCAAAGTTTAAAAATTTACAATTTACAAAGTTTTGCTTGACATCATTTAAAAATAAGTTGAACAAGAGAGGAGACAAATGTCCGCCCTGAGGTACTCCCGACGTAACCTCAATAAAATCAGACAGATAGTTTTCGATTTTAACTTTTTGTTTCCTATAAGAAAGATAGTTAATAAGCCATTCAAAAAATTTACCATGAAAACCCATGGCTAATAATTTCCTAGAGAGGACACTATGATCAACCCTGTCGAACGCCCTGGAGAAATCGGTATAAATGACATCCACCTGATACCCCCCCTCCAAGGCATCAAACAGGACCTGCTCAAACTCCAACAAATTTGAAGTGGTTGACTTGCCCTTCATAAAGCCATATTGTTCTGGTGTAATTAAATGCTTAAATAAAGGTGTAATTTTGTATTTATATACCATAATTAGGAGTTTCTGGCTCATAAACTTCCTAAGCTCATAAAACTTTTACACCAGAAATCGCAGCTTACTGCATAAATTCTCGATGTGAGAGGACCATCTCAGATTTTTATCTATAGTGATGCCTAGATATTTTATACTGTCAGTTTCAGCCACACTAACATTGCTATTTTTTATTTGTAAGTAGTTGTAGTTGGGTCTGTTTACATCTGTTAGAGAGAAGGCGATGTATTTTGTCTTTTCCACATTCAAAGATAATTTGTGATGATCAAGCCAGTTTTTTACTTTATAAATACCATTTTCAGCCCTCTCCCTAACATCGTCCCAAGTTTGCCCACTGAAAACCAGGGTAGTGTCATCGGCGTATGATATGATCCCACCATCAGTGTCTGTCTCCAGCATCGGATTAATATAAGCAGAAACAGAAGAGGCCCTAGAATTGTTCCCTGTGGAATTCCCAGAGAAACCCCCTGGCACGCACTAACAACACCATTTAGCTTCACTTGCTGCACCCTATTTGTAAGATAACTACGGAAGACTTCCTGCACGATGCCCCTGACTCCGTAATGTGAGAGTACATCAATGAGTCCCTCATGAGGCACCGTGTCGAAAGCCTTCGCCAGATCCAAGAAGATACCTATACATTTCTTCGATATCTCAAGATTTTTCTTTATGTTTTCCACAAGCTTAAACATCGCATCATCCGTGCTAATGTTCTTCTGAAACCCATATTGGTTTGGATTCAAAACATTATTTTCAATAAAAAAACTGTACAACCTAGTCTTTAAGCATTTTTCAAAAATTTTTGTAAAAGAACTTATCAGACTTATTGGTCTGTAATTACTAATTTCCTCTTTATTACCTGCTTTATGAATGGGTACAACGATGGTTTTTTTAAACTCATGTGGGATGATACCTTGACTAAATATCAAGTTTATCACATGCATCAGCGGCTCCAAAATGTAGGGGTGACACGCCTTAATCAAGAGCGAGCTGATTCCATCATATCCAGGTGAACTGCTATTTTTTAGTGATGCGATAGTAGATATTAGTTCACTACGATTAACAGGCGTTAGGAACATAGATTTGTTTATGTTGGGAAAGTTTGGGACAGGTGTATCAACAGGAGGTTGTATTCGCGATGCCATACTGCGTCCAACTTGACAGAAGTATTGATTACAATGATCTGCCATGTCTTTGTCATTCAAAAACTTCCTCTGATTGTCTCTAATATAAATTTTCTTTTGAGATCTTGGTTTGGCGTTTGTTGCTTCATTTATTCACTTATATTTCAATAACATTGGTGTGGAAATGGAAAAAAAAATAAACAACCCGCAATACCCTACCGCTATAAAAGAAAGCCTTCAAACCTCTTTATATTTAAGACCAGTTACAGAAAGAGAACTTATAAAACAAATATCTACACTAAAAAACGATAGTGCTCCAGGAAAGGATGGAATTTCCACAAGGATTATTAAACATGTACATATGGAAATAATCAAGCCCCTAGTGTACATTATTAATTTAATTTTTGAAACAAGTATTATACCTAGTCATTTTAAGGAATCAGTGATTACCCCAGTCTACAAAAATGGAGAAAAAAATAAAATTCAAAATTATCGCCCCATTAGTTTGATAAATAATTTTGCAAAACTTTTCGAAAAGTGCTTAAAAGACAGACTTGTAACATTTTTTAATTGCAATAATGTACTGTCCCCAAATCAGTATGGTTTTTCGGAGGGACTAAATACGGCAGATGCTATGTATTCCCTGGTCTCAGAAATAACAAGCAATCTCGATGAGAGTAAAAAGGTCATAGCGGTGTTCATGGACCTTGCGAAGGCGTTTGATACCGTGCCTCATCAAAAACTCCTTGATGTTTTATCACATTCTGGTGTTCGAGGCATGGTATTGGAACTGTTTAAAAACTATCTCTC